GCGCAGCCAGGGCCAAGCAGCTGAGCGAGCATCTCATCCCCGTGGCTCTGTTTGGGGTCCTGCCATCGCTCCTGTGCTGGGGTTACCCAGCCCCCGGGATCCCACCGTGCCCTTCCGGGGACTGGGAGCACGACTGGGGCTGAGGGATGCTGAAAGCAGAGAGCAGCTGGAGTGCTTGCCCGTCCCCGGGGAGCAGTGGGAGCTGCCCAGGCGTCTGCCCTCCTTCAGGCTGGCTGGCAAGGGCACAGACCGGCACGCGGTGCTAGCACGGCTCAGCGCCACCAAGGACACAGGGCCGCGGCTCCGCTGGGATCCGAGCCAGGTGGGCGAGGGATGGAGAGTTTCGGCATCCCAGCGTGGCGCAGGTGTGAATGAACCTGGCAGGAACTGGCCCGAGAGATCCCCGGGCTGTCAGCCAACCCTGTCGAGGCGGCCAGAAAAGCACCGGGGTTTTTTAGAGGCATGGAGAGCTCCTCCGAAGCAGCAGGGCCCAAGCCACGCTGCATGGCCCCGGACCAAAGCAGCCAGGCTCCTGCCAGAGCAAGGACGGTCAACAGCACCCACGGCCAGGCCTGGCAGTCTTCCCCGAGCAGCCTCAGGGCTCCAGGCATGGAGCAGCTCTCCAGAACAGATCTTGGAGGCTCCGGGCATGGATTTTTGCTGCAGAACAGACCATGGGGAGCATCAGCCCAAGCAGGAGGGAGTCCCCTGACAGACATACGGCTGCCGGAGCATTCACCCAAGCCCAGAGGCCATGCTGCGGCACGGCTGGGGAGCAGCGGAAACTGCCCGCAGAACAAAGCGCCCGCCTGCCAAAAAGCTCTCCTGAATCCTGCATGAGTGGCCAAGAAACAGCTGAGGGATTCCTGCGTCGCTCAGCAGGCACCAAGCGGGGACGGCGCTCCAGGAGCACAGGACACCGAGTGGTGCCAGGAGGCTCTGCCAGCAGCGGGGAGGAGGAGGCCGCCCTTCAGCCACTGCCGGTCTGGCCAGCAGCCTCACCACTTCCAGGGGACACGCAGCAGCAGCCCGGGACTCGCCACGTCCCACCCCTGCCCTGCTCACAGGCTCAGGGGGTCGGGGAGCAGCAATGAAGCAAGCCATGGAGCCACTTGGCACCCCCCCGGGAGCCTCCTGGGGACCCCACCTCGCAGACCAGTGGCACACACATCAGGCTCAAACATTTCCTACTTTTTTTTTTTTGGTCTACAAGATGCTCAGACCAGAAGTTTCCATGACTGGACAATTCCCATGGCTGCCTGCAGGCAGCCAAAGAAGCCCTAGGAAGGCTCCAGCCCGGCGGGGAGCAGACGGGGGATGGAACCGAAGGCTGGCTCAGGGACCGCAGGCTCAGCCCCCTGCCACGCTCCGGCTTCCCTCCCGCAATGAGGATCGTCACAGCTGGGAGGGAACAGCCCCATTCCAGCCAACAGCATCATCCAAAGGCGACGGCAGCTGCTGGTGGGGACCTGGCGACACGCAGGCTGCCCCAAAGCCTAGAGGGGCCGCTGCCGCCGCCTTCCCTCCCTGCTGCCACAGCTGTCCTGGGACAGCCCCAGGGAACAAGGCTGTCACTTACCTTCTTGTGTTTTTTTGCCATCCACTTGTCCCAGTTGTTGAGCATATCCAGCCACTTGGACTCCCGCTGCCGTAGCACCTCCAAGGGCACCTCCTCCAGCCTGCGGGACAGGGCAGGGGGGAAGAGGCTGGTCAGGATGGCTGCAAGCCCTCCCTGCACCACAGAGCACCCACCCCGACCCCTCCAGCACCCTGGGTGCGCCCCACAGCCGGCTGGCTGCCGTCCTCCAGGTGCAGAACCCACCTGGGACATGCTCGAAAGCGCCGGCATTTTGGCAGCTGCTCGGCGCTGCCGGAAGCGCTCACACCACCCGTGAAAACACGGCGCCAGCACGGCCCAGCAGTTCAAAACCTCTGGGGAGCAGCCTATGCTGTGCCCACCACGCGCCCGAGCACCCCCGGGGACCTGTGGCCCAGGCGAAGGGCACGCCAGGAAGGCGAGGGACCAGGGAGCTCAGCCAGGGCTGTCAGCCGAGCTGAGCGTGGCTTGATCCCCGCCGCAGGGACTGGCTGCAGATGGAAAAAGCCAGGGCCATAAGCATCATGTCATCTGCATGGCCCCAGTCGTGCTTGCACCCCAGAAGCCTGGCCCGGCTCCAGGCCCGGCGTCAAGCCCAGCCAAGGGTCCCCCAGGAGGGAGAGGAGTGTTTTCCAGCAACACGGCTCAGCCTAGCCAGGGAATCCAATTTAACCCTGCCTAGGCAGGCGGGGATGCTGCCCCAACGCCAAAACCGAAGCCTCCAACCCGCCCCAGGCACCCTTCGTCGGCAGGAGCCGGGGCGACAGACAGCTCGGCCGGGCCCTGGGTGCGCACAACCTCTGGGCCTCCAGCAGAGAAGGACCACCTTCAGCAGACCCGACGTCTTCCCCGGCTCGGCTCTGCACTGCCCTGTGACCATGCCAATGGCCAGATCCTTTCTGAGGACAGCGGTCCAGGTGCCCGAGCGTCCCTCACGGACATGCAGAGCCACCAGCCCTGCCACAGGATGCACGGACGCTGTCTCCTCCCAGACCTCTCCCTGTTAGGAGACGGAAGGCGAGCGGCACGGAGAGCCCTGAGCTGTATCCAGCTGGCAGCGCTGCCCCGCTCCCTGCCCATCCCTTCCCCACTGGCTCCCACCCACTGCAGCGGGTCAGACCCGGCCGAGTGCAATTGTTTCAGAGAGCAAACCCTCTCCAAAAGGATCTGCTTTACTCAGCGCAGCAACCCCACCTCCTCAGCGCAGGCTGGGCACT